GGATCACAACCCCGACCAGGATCTAAAAGCTTCAAACTCCTTAACTCAACAGGCTATGGCTAACTTGACCCAAATCAACAAGACCTGATTACCCGCCTACCAAACGGATCACCATAGGAAAACAACCCCGAGACCCGGCAACCTGCGCCTCCAGCAACACAACTCCGACACCAACAACCAAAACAATCCACAACCCGCAGGAGGGGGCTACTCCTTCACGGCCCCAGTGAATCGGGCGGCTCAGGGCTAGTCCTTCATAGACGAAAGAAATTGGGCTCTAGCATGCTTGGACAAGAAAGGGGATCTGTTTTGCGGCATAATCAATGAATGGTTGAAAAATAAAAAATGGTTTCCATTTACTTTTGTTTCCCATTACATTTGATGCTACCTTGACTTTTATATGTCTAGATTTTCTTTATCATCAAGAGGATCGTGCGTGATTTTGTCATGGACCTCATGGTTCAATGTGCAATGCATCATTTTTGTTAGTTTCATAATTTTTAATGTCATGTCATCCATCTATTGGTCTATTCATATTTTATGTCATCCATCTATTGGTCTATTCATATTTTATCTACTCGTGTGTAATTAACTTATCCAGATTTTATGGCATAATTTCATTTTTAGTTTACCACATTGACTTCTTTCTAGCAAATGTCTAACTTTTTGGCAGACCCAATTTAATACATTGATTTGAAAAATTCATCAAATAAGATACACTAATTATTAGTGCTAAGATAATGGCTAGACAAATTTGACGACACGAGTTCAACGGTAGGTCAATCGACCATAATGGAAGCCGAACCATGCAGAAATCCACTAGACATGGAGCATAGAGGATGTGGCCATAAATGAAATGCGTTGAAATGTTTTTCCAAAATTTGAACGGGTAAATAAAAGTCCAAATAGGCTGAAATATGGGTACACCTGCCTCATCAAGATGAGTCAAACGGTAGGTCACTCAGTTAGAATGGAAGCTGGACGAAACTAAAATTCCATCAAAACTAAAACAACTGACAAAAATAAAAATTAGCCAAAATGTTTTTGAAAAACTGAATGAGTATACAAACTTTGTTTGAGTTGATATTCCAATGGTAGAACCATATCGAGGAGACGAGTCTAAGTGTAGGTCACTCAATTATAATGACATTGAATAATGGCAAGATTCCGCCAAATAGCAAATTGTAGGACCGAAAATTTTTTAAAAAAAGAAAAGAATTATAAAAAAATAAAAAAAAAATCAGTAATTCTACCATGTCAACAAATAAACTCGAATTGGTGCTTCTTGTATAATTTTTTTTATGATTTTAAGGATTTTTTTTACCACGAACCTTGATAAAAATTAAATTCGTGTATCTTTTTTTTAAAAAACAAAAAATTGATTAAAAAATAATAAATCGTCAATTTGTCAATTATGTAAAATCTGCCTAGAGAAGGTTCTAAAGCTAAAACAACTTCATAACATAGTATATCCCAAATAAAATTTTTATAACTTCTTATTTATTTGAGTTGTGTGTCTATACTATACTATTATAAAATGAGTGGTTTTGTAAAAATATGAACTGCTTAAAAAATTCTTGCTTTGACATATATTTAACGACAAATTAGTAATAAAGTAATACTTATCTTATCTTATGTTTTACATTAAAAAATGAACTACTTAAAAATCCCTTACTTTGACATATTTTTAATGAACTACTTAAAAATCCCTTACTTTGACATATTTTTAACACAAATGAGTAATACACTAATACCTATCATATCTTATATTTTTCAACAGTGTGAAAAATTTATTTATTTATTCTTCAGAACGGGATGTAAATAACTATTTCCAATATATGTATCANTTGGAAAGAGAATCTAATCTCTATTATCATGAGTTCTAGGCTTAATTTTATAATTTTTTATTATTGAACAAAATTTATAGAGTCTGTCTAGTGCAGTTTTATTAAATATTGATACCCCAATGTGCATAAAATAGTTATAAAATACATAATAATAATCCTTATTGCAGCAGAAATAGAAAAGAAAAGTATGCCTTTCACAGAAATGGTTAAAGCTAATTGTTTTTCTTGTAAAGAGCCCCAACAAAAAGAATCCTCCCAAGTGGAAAACATATTTCCTTTTATAGTTATTTTATAGTTTTGCTTTATGAAAACTAAAAACTAGCTTGTATGCCACACTTGCCTGTTTTAATTTATATTACAAGCCGATTTCTGTCCGATTACTTGTATTTTTTATAAGGTTTATATACTTAGATGTTTGACTAGTTATTATTTCACTATAACTAGTTTATAATATTGAACCCGCTTTCTAAGTGTGGGTTATGAGTGTGTTTCAAGTAATAAAATGGCGATTTATTTTAACATTGAGAACAGAATGAAGATAAAAGAAGTTGTTGCTTTTATTGCCTCTCTTAAGATTTTTTTTTTTTAATCTTAAGTATAATGAACTTGATATCTGTAGTATTGCCTCTCTTCGTAGTTGGTTAATTCATTTTTCAGGTTTTTATTTCGTGTTAACTTACATAATTATTTGATATAAGCAAAGTAATGTGTACTATCAACGTATGAATCTGACCATAGTGTACCACAAAAGTTCTGTCATTTTATTTATTTATTTTACACGGTATTCCCGTTAAAAGTTTGATGTGACAAATTATTTATGAAATTAGTTCACAATTTTGGAGACAAAGATATATGAACGGTAGGGAAAATTTATTCCGCCAGAAGGATTTAAGTGGGCATATGTGGAAAATATTTTCTGCAAACATAGTGTCTCCATGTCTATATTCCAAACGAACGAAAGCAGAGATTTTGTTCTTTTCCCATTATTAGTAATGTTGTGAAATTGACATATATAAAGAAGGTACTTTTTGAATCAATTCCATTTTCTTTATTTTCTCTGCCGTTGGTTAAAGAGCCGAGCCCGCTCAGCACTTCAAGGATCGTTAAATTTGAAAAAAGTGGTTGTTACATAAATTTTTGAACTTTTTAACATAATTCGGTTAATAAAAACTCGTTAATTAGCCGAGATCAAACCCGAACTTGAGTATTGGAAGCTCGAACTCGGCTCGACTCATTTATATATAAGGAATAAAGGAAATAAATAGTATCCATTTGTTTGCTCGGCCAAAGGGTTCTCTCTTGTGTTGCAATGCATAAGATAAATAGTGGCTTACATAGTAAACATACTAGTGCGTGGCCCGTGCAACAATATTACGATTGTATTATAAATTAAATATATAAGAAACATTAATCATGATTTACCTATTATTTTTAAATTAAACCGGGTTGGACACAGTCCGACCGGATGGACCGGGAACCGGTTTATAACCAGTCTAGTTCGCTTGAATAAAATATTTGCTATCGAATCCTCCAACACCGATCAGTTGGACTGGTAGGATCGATACGATTTTCTAAATAGATTTTGCTACATTTAAAATTATTTTAAATAAAATTACATATTTAAATAAAATAGAGATTTATAAACTTTTTATCAATTAGCTTAAACATTTGAATTTATAAATTGTTTAGATATTTAAGTAATTATAAAATATTAAAATGTTTATAAATTAAAATCTACACAAACCACAAATGATATAATAAAATAACTTTGATTGTTTTGATGAGGGTCCGATTCTAAAAACCTTATATTTACTGTATATTAATAAAATTATAATAAAATATTATTTTATTTACATAAATATTAATAAAATGATATATAAGTATCTATAAATTATTAAACATGTTGTCATAAAAGAATGACATGATTTTCCAATTATGATCTCTGATTCTTTGTCCCAAAGAGCAATAGTGGCATTTGCAATAGAGTTCGAGATGAGCAAATTCATCTTGTATCTATTAAAAAAATAGCATGAAAAATTCATCAATTATGACAAAGAGAATGAAGTAAATCAAATTCTTCTTTAGAAAGACTCCTTATAAAAAAAAGATATTCTATTTATTTCCAAGATAATAGTAAACAGTTATTTGAAATTTGAAATCAAAATTTGGAAATATCTGAATTTTTGGAATACTTCAAAAGAGTCCGAACTATGTGAAATTATGAAGTTGATTTGATATTGAATTCAAGATCTGTCGGAATTTGAAAAAAAAATCCTTAATTTTAGGTTGTTCAATTATATAAATATATGTGATTTGATTTTTTTTCAATTCAAATTGTAGATGAGCCACATTCTACATCTATTATATGCGATTATTTATTATTCGATTTTATGGCAATCGAGTGGCAAGGAACTTAGAATTTTAAATTATCAATTAAATATTGCATTCGATTTTCTTTGCAATTAGTTTTTTTGAATAAAAAAGGAGAAGACATAAAGTTTATGCCTGATTTTATAATATGACCCATTTTTAATATTTAATTATATAAAGTAAGATATGATATATAATCTAAAGTAGATTATGTTTTGATCTAAAAACTCATATATTATGCGTGCCTGTAAATTAGATACACAATAACCAATTTTTTGGGAAGTGAATTAAAACATAAAATAGAAAATAGCTGAAAATAATATGTAATTAATATGTGTTGACTTTTTCTTCTTACTATTTATAGTAAATAGTAAATCTTTTGATATAGATATAGATTCCTTAAAAATTAACATTTTCGCTCATCTTTTGATATAGATTAATGGATCATTACATCCAACACATATCATTGTTTTTTTATATTTATTCAAGCCGAAAATGATATAAAATACGTTGATGGTGGAATCCACTTAAGTAATATAGGGAAAATAATATTATACAGTCGATGCTTTTTAATAGTGGTTTGGGCAATTTTGAACATTTGCTTTAAATCATTGGGTATGAGTTGTATTGATGGTTCCACACTCTTGGCCTTCCAAAATATGTTTTCAATGTAAAAGGATGTATACATGTTGTAAAAGGATGTATATATATATATATATATATATATATATATATGTGTGTGTGTGTGTGTGTGTGTGTGTGTGTATAGAGATTTTTGCATACTTGTAAATCAACGACTATGTTTTATTTTTCATGTAATTGTCCATCACGATCTCATGTGCACCAAAACTATCATATATGCATGTTAATGTCTAATGATCATGTATAATTGACAAACTACTAAGATTGAAAAACAGAATCAAATGAAAACATGGCCCTTGCCATATATTTTTGTCTTGACAAGACTGCTTCATGGATTTCCTTCTCATCACTTGAGCATACAAACTGAGGACAAACAAAGATCTTCAATAGGAGAAAAATTTTGAACACAAAAGTGAGAGAATGAAACAAAAAAGACAATCCATCCTCTTGTTGGGAAGATAATAAAAGTGGCAAGACAGTATGTTTTGTTGCCAGCAATTATTCTTTGCTAGTTCATATTGTCAACTGACAAACCAGCCTAAATTCTTCAATCCCCAAAAAACCATCAAGAAACAGGTAAAAGTTGTACCCGAGCAATCGTGAGAAAAACAGATGCATCAAAAAAAGCACACAGAATCAAAAGCCTCGAGAATGTTTACACATATTCTTTCACCAGAACTTATTCTGGCAGCAAAATGGCCTGACTACACTTAGTGGTGATGATCATCATCGTCTGAATGCCCATCGGGAGATCCACCAGGGCCAACCACTTCCAACTGTCGAGCGAGAAAGTTAATTTTAAATAAGAACAAAGGGGCATTTGAAACTTGCACAGGCATGCATAAAAGCAAGAACAG